GAGGAAAAGAAAGCGCGACGCGTCATTGCCAAAAATAAAGTTTGTATATCTTTTTTATAGAGGTCCCTAAGATGATGATCGAAGCATCAAAAAGGGCAGTAAAAACAAAACACAAAAAAGTATGAAAAACAAAAAAGTGACGTTCTTGGGCGCACGGTGCCGTCGGTTATCAAATCCTTCATCTGCATGACACCGCAAACAAACCGGATCGCACCTCGTAGAATCATCAAGTTTGGAGAAACTAAACAATGACCAGGGAAGACAAAATCAAAGAGAAGGCAAAATGCACTCTATCGCGGCGCCATTATACACGACTTCATCTGCTCATGTCTAGGTCTGGATGGCGATGCGAGCGCCATCTCTTGTTTTAAAATCATACTAAGTGAGGGTGGGGTTCCACCTTAAGGTGCAACCCCACCGTGCATGACGTTTTGGTGCTTTTTTGGCGGTTTATAACTTTCTCTCTAAGTATTGTACAATTATAAAGCTAATGTCAAATTAGAAAGCTGTTCTTCAACGATACTTTAATGTCTCAATATTGCGATTAATTTTAGTTGTTAGTTCATTATTCAGCTTTTAATAGACCACAATCTCAAATATTGAAAATATTATTTCTAGAGTTATAGCATCCCGTCGTCCACGATATTTTCCGTGAGCGTTCGGTTGAATATAATGAATTAATAGAGTAAGCAATTAACTGTACTTAATAATGTATATTTCAAGATAAAAAAAGTTCAAATGGTGTTATTTTATGGTGTTATAAAAACGAAATCACGTCAACTAATCCAAATTACGAGACATTAAATTTTGAAGAATCCTTCGATATTCCATTCTACAGAACTTCCATATTTATATATTACACGTTAAGAACGTTACTGGACCTCAAACTTTTCCGATTCAGTTACGGCGAATTGCAGCTTCCTAATATAAAATACAGATGGCGACACGAGTTCAAGAATAGATTGATGTGCATTTTCCCTCGTGTGCCGCTTGGAACGCCACGTGAAAGACGGAAAAAGGAGCCAGATGTCAGGGTGTCAGATGCCTGGATGCCAGCAGTGAGCAAGCCAGAGATCTCAGAGCAACAAGCGCCAGGCTCTGTGTGCACTACAGCTGCTTTTGCGCGCGTTCTACTGTGCGTCGGTACGCATGCCTGACGCGATCCAAAGAAATGGGCGCCATGAAAGGGAATTCGCCATTTTGATTTATGCCGCGTATACGAAAACATTTGAATGTCTTTATCACCTGCAAAAATAATTTTCGCAACTAAACTATGCTTGTCGGAATGGTTCGACTGTATTTTGTTTCAAAAATTACTTCGGTGGCTTTTAGGTGGCAATATTATTAAAACAAAACACAAATCATTAAAACGTTTCAGCGTCTTTGATCCAACGCGCTGGCCCATGTATCCATATTTGCCGGGTTTAAATATCGGCCGAGGTGCAAGCAATCTGACGGAGGCCAGTCTGAGGTTTCGGTTGCACATCAAAAGATCTCCATCCGCAATTTTTTTTTTTTTTTTTTGATTTGGGGCGTGTTAAGTGATTTTTGTTAGTTTGGCTCATAAAACCCTAAGATCTGAATATTTGCTTTGCTTCCTTAGTTTGAAGCGCAGCCAACGCTACGGTCTGATGAAGCCACTGAAGCAGTGCCAAGAGCGCGAGCTCACGGAGTTTGTTCTCTTTCTGTTCCTGTGCGATCGGGCTAAACTAGAGCCACTAAATAACAGACATGTACAAGTTCGTCATAAAAGTAATTAAGTTAAGTTACTGAGTATTGAAGTCAAAAGTAATTTCAGTAGAGTAGAAATTACTCAAATAGAAGTAATTGAGAAGAAAATTACTAATTACCGTAAAAAAGTAGCGAATTACTTTTTAAAGTTACTTTCTATAGGTTTTTATGGTAAAAAGAAAGAACAGAGGTTTTGATCCGTTAGCGAAATTCTGGTAACCACATGTTAATCGTTTTTGTTTTTTTTCACAGAAATGTTTTAATAGCTGGTTCTGCTTTTGAATGCTTAATTGTTTTGTACTTTCTTGTTTGTTTGGTCAATGATGTACTGCGAATGTGTCGTTTCTACTTTGAGGTTGAGCACTGTCTGAGCTTGATTTTTTAGACAGTGTTTGCTTGTTTACAGTGTTGCGTAAAGTACATCTAAAAAGTACTTGGAAGTACAAAGTAAATGAGAGGTTATGTACTTCAAGTAAAGTAGTAAGTACACCGCGGTGCAATGTAATTGAAGTAAGGTATATAAATACAACATATTTCAAGGTAAAGTACAAGCACTTTTAACACAATTTTTTATGATGCCCTTTCATTCGCTGTACAGTGTTTTTTTAACTGGTATGCATTGCTCCAGGGGTAATCGGGGGTGCATCAGTTTTTTACGAAAATGGCAGCATATATTGTATAAGATCAAGTCGCCAGAAAGTAGTTGTTTTACTCTCGCTGACGAGCTATTTGACACAATCAATTCATAAGGCAATTATTTGTGTCGGTCTTATAGCCGCCATTACTTCACTCAGAGAAATAACCAGATGACGTCTTGAAAGAGCGCGTTTTCACACGACGATACGCCATTTTTTGTTTTCAAATTCGGGGAATGTGCATTGAAGTCGGGAATTTTACTTTCTTCGGAAAATACAAGTACATGTTCAGATAATTCACTTCAAGTAAAGTACAATTTTTCTAAACAGTAGTACTTTAAGTACCATGTACATAGAGAAACGTCCCAACAGTGCTTGTTTATTATTTTTATATAAAAACGTCGGGAGAATTACTACAGGTTTCTCGAACGATCTTCGAATCTTTGAAGATCTGCTAATTCTGAGTTTTGGGAGGAAAGGCGACGCAAAAAGGTAATCTTTGCTTTCCCCTTTAGCACGCGATTCTTCCAGTACAGCAGAAACTACGGGAGCAACAGATGAGTTTCAGAGCAGGTACTGCATTTTGTTGCCTCCTTTCAGTGAGGATGCAGTGTGTGCACGTCCTGTAGTGGGAAAGAGTTTCTACGTTGAGGAGAAGCGGGGACAAGCCCTTTCTTCAAATGCGTCAAGTCTCCTTAAGCTTCGGGACACAGAGAAACGCCAGTATTCGGCGCTAATCCCGCAGTTACTCGGCCTCTCTTGCGTCGTGTCTTTTCACTCCCCGCGCCTCGCAGCGGTGTTGTTGCAGTGGGGGGAGGGGGGGGAGACGTGAAAATTTTGGGGGATTTCAGACTCTCCAAACCATTTTCTCCCCCCCCCCCCCTTTTCCTACGCCGCATGCTTCCCCCTCTTTGCAAATATCAGCTGCTCTTCCAACATCTTACCTCTTTTGTGCATGAATGTTTGTTGATAGGCAAAACAACCACTAAAATTCGAGAGTAATTTGTAACTCGTGTAGAAGTTACCCATAAAAAGTAATTAAAGTAAATTACTAATTACCGAAATAAAAATGTAATTGAAAGTTAATAAACTACTCAGAAAAGTAGTTAAACTACAGTAACTTGAGTAGAGTAGTTAAACGACATACAAGTATGCTAAATACGCTACGCTTCATACACACCTTGGTGCTTAAAATGATGGTTGTCAGTTATCTGAAGCTTTATCTGAAATCACAGGAAACACTTTTCTGTACTCCACAAGTGTTTAAACAGCTCGCGACAAAGCAAAGCAATATTGTGTGAGTATCCTAACACTGAAACTAATGCTGAGGAAGTCGCACTTTTGAATCATGACGATTGGCAGTTGTGTTTGCTTTATACTAACCACCAAGATGGCGGCGCTCACAACAATATCGGGGAAAGACTGTAAGCGTGGCTCATTTCGTTTAGCTCACTTTAAGCTAAGCCGAGGACGGTGGGGGATCGTTGGCCGAGGGTTTTCTAGCACCGCAGATCAGAGCACGCGGAGAAATGCGCGAGCTCCGCATTTCTTAACGATAAATGATTCAATCATATGCGAGGAGCGTGGTGGATGACGTTATATGGAAGAGAAGGTCATTAATATACATATGAAATAAAAGCGGACCCAAAACGCAGGCCTGCTGAACACGTGGTATTACCGTGGAAAAGGGGGGGGGGGGGGGGGAGTTCGGTGATTGGTTCTGCCCCAGGCAGACAGCCTCTTTACGGTGATTAAGGAATTCAGCTATCCAGTGAATAATAGAAAGGTGAATATTTAGTTCAGAAAGTTTGTACAGAAGTCGTTGGTGAGGAATCGTGTCTTGTGCTTTTGAAAAATGAATGAAGATGGCGCCAGTCGGGTGAGACGAGTGAAAGTTGATATGCAGGTCCGAAACGAATTAAAGAGGTTAAGTCTCGGATGAACGCCCCCTCCTGAAACCACGCTGATTATTACATAATCATTAATTTTCTGACATATAGTTTACGATGTGGGAGTAGACGACATGTTCCCTAATTTTGCAAGGCACACTAGTTAATGATGTGGGTCTATAAGTAGATGAGTCGTTTCTATTCCTGGTCTTAAAAATAGGTGAAACTCTCCCGAACCTCCAGTCCGCGGGAAGGGTAGTTAAGTCGAGCGATTGTTGGAATCGGATCATACAAGAGACACGGTCTGCAGACACGATGACAAGATTAGGGAGTTTTAGGGAACCGTTTTTGCCCATCCGATAGGGTACGATGGGTCCTCCGGTACGAACTGCGCATGCGCTGCCACAGAAGACTTGTATATGCGCAGTTCGTACCGGAGGGCCCATCGTACCCTATCGGATGGGCAAAAACGGTTCCCTAAAACTCCCTATTACCTGCGGACACTCCTCAAGCATACGTTCGACGCGCATGTTGGCTTCGTGCTTCCATGTTTACTCTTGAAACATCTCGGCAGGCAGTTTTTCTACGACAAGTGTGACCGTCACGTAAGAAAGAAACACACCTCGGACGGTGTCTGCACACTTCCATTTCTACGATGAATGTGTGGTGTTACTGCGGCTTTGGTGTGAAACGGAGTATAAAAAAAAAACTGATGCAACGATGCCCGATTTAGAAAATCCTCACTGAACCTGCATCTTCGTTCGGAGAAATGTTGTTACACGTTTATTGCGCGGCCGCAGCACGGTCCTTGCGTTTCTTGACGCAGACGTGGCAGAGTTCAGCGAGCCACATGAGAGCCACCAGAAAGCACCCGGAGCCAATCATGTACAGGAGTCCATCGTAGGAACCAACGTGATCTTTGAAGTGACCTGCACAAGGAAGATGCAGAAAGATGTCGCATAAATTAGTCGCGAACACTACTAACTGGCGTTCTAATAAGAAAGATAGAATATGTCAAGAACAATACAAGAGTAAAATAGTAAAAAAACGAAGAGACTACGAGCGCTAGACGATGCCAAATTCGGAAGAGATATCAAATACATAGCAACAGCGCCATATCACAAAAATTGTTAGGATTGTTTTCCTATATAATCACTGCAAAGACGAGAAAGGCAGGAAGGAGGTTCAGTTGTCCCGCGCCCAGCACGAGCTTCCTACCTTTGACAACGCTTCGCCGTCTCGTGCACCTCGAGTTCGCGCGCGTAGCCGATGCACGGCGGTAGGCATGGAGCGCGTGATAAAGGCAATGTTGTAACCAGTCTTGGGTAGTAACGCGTTACTAGTAACGCGTTACTGTAACTTCGTTACTTTTTTGGTAACTTGTAACTGTAACGAGTTACTTTTTAAAAATGTAACTTGTAACTGTAGTTCTATTACTTGTTTCTGAGGTAACGATGAAAGTAACGACGTTACTTTTGTCGTTACTTTCCAGTGTTTTATGAATACTATATCACTGAACGAGTGCAATTTAGCCATTCCTTGCACTTTCCAAATAGTCTATTCCGACATTTCGAGTGTCAAGTTGGTCTTGCACAAAGTTGTGAATACGTTCTTTCTCGCGAGTCACGACCCAAATATAGCCACGTATACATTTAATGAAAAAATATCTAGTTATCTTTACGCACGCGCTTGTACTTTGTGACTCAACACTTACATCTTAGTGTCTTGAAGCACTACTGATGTTGTGGTGTTTTTTTTTCTCTGCAAACGTATTTTAATCGGGGGAATCAACTGTGAAACAACAATACACGGGAAGGACACTGTGCATGTCGCGTATTTTGATTAGCGCCACTACTCCGCACTGCGCATGTTTCGTATTTTGGTTTGCGCCACTACTGTGGCATGGAAACTTTCAAACACTAACTTCGAGAGGCAACTGCTGCTAAGTTACAATATAAAGTAAAAAGCGTACTTTTTAATTTTATGCAATAAAACGTTGTGAGGGGCGTTTTCTGATTTTTTCTAAATTTTTTGTGTTATAGAAAAGTAACTGAAAAGTAACGTCGTTACTTTTTAAAAGTAACTGTAACTGTAACGAGTTACTTTTTTGTTGCGGTAACTGAAACGGTAACTTCGCTACTTTTTACAAAAAGTAACTGTAACTGTAACGAATTACTTTTTAAAAGTAACTTACCCATGACTGGTTGTAACCAGGATTTTTTTTTTTTTTCAGACGTTCGAAAGACACGCCCTGCGGTTCTCAGCGTGTCACTATGCATCTTTCCAAGATAGGCTCGAGTCCAAGATAACGTTTTCCGCATGTTCACTGGGTTGGATGCTCGTCTCTCCACGGTGTCCCTGCTAACCCTAACCGAGGGGGCTCTTATTGCAGCCTACGTAGGTGCCATTCCAGACACTGCTGATTGCAAAACAATCGAGTTTTTCTTTTTTGCGTTTAATGGTGAATATAGTTTCTTAAGGAAATTAAGAAAGCATTGTATACCCTCTTTGCCAATAAAAACAAGTAACTCTAAGTTACTTTTGCCGAGTATACGCGCACGACAGAAAGGATGCGACTGGAATGTTTGTTTCATTTTACGTAATTGCTGACACCGTCACCCGCTCAGCCTTCTCAGTCGGCAAAGTTCTTAATTGTCAAAAACAATTGACAACAGATGATAAGTCCAAAGGCATGGGTATTTGCTGCGCACAGATTACGCATGCATTTACAGATTTTTACGACAGGTCTCATATATCCGTGTCTTGACGCTCAAATAATATATTCTATGTACCACACGATGCCGCGTTATCTAAACGGGGGTTTATTTGATAAACATCTCAAACAACACAGCGTCACCAGTCAACTGTATGGACGTAACTCACTTCACGGCGATCAGACGGAATACAATAGGAACTCGAATCTGGTCACGTTTGGAGAGAGCTTTCATATTGCAAAGCACCAAAGCTAAAGAACAAACGTTACTACCCGTGACTCCTACCCGAATTCAATTAATTATCAATGGCGAAGGTCAAGAACTCTCTGTTGATTATCTTGGCAGAAAACTGTTCTCATTGTTCGCAGCGTCATGTGTCGCGGGCCGTTTGACTTTTTCCATTCGTTTGTATCCCTGCAATTTCGAGCAGAAAGGCTTGGATTGGAAACATCAGGTTATTACCGCTGGTTTGTGCCGTGGAAGTGAAGGCAAAAGGAATACGTAGGCATAGATAAAGCAAAAAAAGTCACAACTTCCAAGAAAGGTGGCAAACTCGGAATGCACGACTCAGGTACAGAGCTCAGCTAATCAGGTTTTAACAGCCCAAGATGGTGGCAAACACTTTCTAGCTACTAGGTATCGCGAGAGTGGCGCTAGTTGAATCATTATCAAAAACATGGCGGCGGCCTACGAGTGTCTTTTGCAAAGTTGTGTTGTTACTTTCATGCTGCCAGCTGGCCATTCTAAAGCCGAGAATCGGCAGAGTTACATAGTGCCTGCGTAGCTTTCCCCTGGGTGACGTTAATGATATTAATATATCATTGTATGGCTTATAAGTTATTTCACATAAACCAGCGTTGAAACATAGTTACTTCGAAACTGGAAGGGGGGGGGGGGGGGGGGGATGATGGACTTTCAGTCATTATTTTCGTAGTGGTGGTATTCCCACATTACACCCACCCCTACTCTCCCTATGGTGAACTTCTGCAGCCCCCCCCCCCTTACCCTCTCGTATATATATTGTCACGAATGACAAGTGATGAGGCGATAATAAGTGCATAAACTAAACGTTTAATGGGGCGAACTTGTGCCCAAAAATAAAAAGGGAACAGAAGAAAGCAGAGCGTCGCGGGCACGCTGAAAGACAGCTTTTTTGTTTGTTTGTTTTGACACGTAAGCTAGAGACATGTTTCGGCATGGCAGCATGGCAGTCATTCTATCGTAGTAGTAGTACTAGTAGTCGTTGTAAGTATTGAGCGTTTAAAAAAAAAGCTTAAACCCCAGAACACTTTTTTTCATGGGGATGGAGATTGTCTATAACTCTAATTAGTCTCAGATGTCACACAATCAAAGAAATTTCTTATTAACTCGAATAATCGATACGCTGTTTATAACCAAACATGTGCGAACATTTTCGTGCGAAGCATACGGATAGCCAATCATCGCAATCGACAGAAGCAACCCATAGGCAATTACGGGGCGGAGATAACCTCTTCGGACGGAAACGCTATCTACGCAGATCGAACTTACGTGGAGTATCTTTATCACAACCTAGGCTTACTAAGAACTCATCGATCAACTCCATATGCGCTCCGTTGGAAAGTTGATGCGCGCGCTTATAGGCAGTGAATCCACTACTTGATGCGGTAAATGTCCTTCGCAAGTAATTGAAGTTTCCTCTCCATCAATAAACATTTGATAGATGCATAAGGTTATAGTCAGAGAAAGTTGACTGTGACTCCTTTAGAACAGGTATTGGTCGTGACAAGGTTCATGCAAAACAGCCTTCATACACGTTGTAATCACTGATAACTTAAGAAACGGAGTGCATGGTGAATGCCGAGCATCTTATTATCGCTGCGCAGCCAATGGGATTGTGGCATTAACCTGATAAGAACGCCGGGCGAATCAACGAGCAAGAAGTGTAAAGCGTTTCTTATGCTGTCTCTGACTGTAGGCCATACTTACCTGTGATCTTGGGGCAACCAAAGTAGGCGGCACCCATCACGAACCGGCATATGCCCATGGTGACGCCAAGGTTCTCCACACCAAGATGGTCGGCCAGCAGAGGACCGAAGAGTACTACAAGGGTGCCGCACGCCCACCCCAAGAGCGCGCATAAGGCCAGGGCTGCCGGGTACGAGTGCACCCAGGGCAGTGACACCACCAGACTACCCAGGAGAACGGAGCTGAGCCCCATCATGGCGCGTCGGTCCATGAAACCCTTGTCGGAGAGTACGCCCGACAATAGTCGCGCACCGGCGTCACCAATGGCGGACACCGAGAGGAACACAGCACCGTCCTGTCTGCTGAAGCCCTTCTCTTCTGCTAAGTCCACGAGTATCACGAAGACTAGTGTGGCGTATACGGAGAACATGCACGTCACCGCCACCATGTAGAAGACGGGCACCTTGAGGAACGAGAGGTGCGATGTCCATTTCCGCTTCGTGCTGTGAGAGTTGATTTCTGCAGTCCCGCTGCTGTTGTCGAGGGAGTTTCTGACGTGTCGGCCGCCATTCACTGCCGAATTGTAAGAAGCTTCAATCGTGTTCATCGGCTGAATAACGTCGTGAGAGGTTGTCTCTCCGTCCTTGAGGAGAGCTCCCTCTACGTCGTATTCTGTCAGTTGTCCACCATTCGCAGAAGGTTCACCAGAAGCTCCGACGACGTTTGTCGGAAATTTGTCGGTGACTGGAAGCACCTTGGAAGCCCTCACGGACACCCATGGCGGAGTCCTGTAGAACAGCGAGCTAACCAGGCCGTTCAAGGCTAGACCACCGGTGATGAGGAAGGTCCCGCGCAGTCCGTACGCTTGAATGAGGATGTCCATCAGCGGAGGAAAGACGAAGGCTGCCAGAGTTCCACCCGTGTAGTAGATGCCGAAGCCGGAACCCCGGTAGCGGAGGAAGTACTGTCCAATCACCACGTCGTTAGTCACCATCACGATTCCCATGCCAATGCCTGGTTTGACCATAAAAAGAAATGATGTGACTTTCGGCTGTAGGACCGTTCGCCGAACGATAATTCGTCACGTGTCAACTGGTAGCGGGGCTTTTCGTCACATTGGGCGATTCGCCATAGGGCAGTTCGTCTCTATAACAATTCGTCAAACTATTAACAGATGTTCCTTATTATCGTACCATTTCTGACCTTCACCGAGCATAGTTATTCCAAGAGAGTACAATTACCAGGAACCCCGCTCCCTTCATTTTATTTCTTGACACAAGAAGGCGGCTTTTTTACTATTTTCTAATGGATGATGACTAATTACGTCATGTCCATCAGAATCTTGGCACCTCTCTTTTGTCACTAATGGAAAACAAATTAATTTCAGATTGCTATGCAATTGTGGGGCTTTGCGTGAAACGTTTCGGTCGCTTTCCGTGCCGCCCAAGCGTTATCTTTGTTGCGCATGCGCGGTCTGCGCCACGCAGGTGGATGAGCTACATTCTCTCCGTGCCTCTTATGTGCAGTTTGGGTCAAGCATGTGCAGTATCTATGTCGCGCCCCTAAAAGATTTATATTCTACGCTTCCAAAGTGAACTAAAATGTTTACCAACATTTAAAAAAAAAGCTTTCTAAAGAAAACACTTCACAGAAGCTAAATCCCAAAAGCGACCGAACGCTAAAAAAAAATGTCGGGGCGCCAATCTATACGCTGTGAAGGTGATTGGCTAGTGAAGCTGCTGTATCAACTGCAACGATTGCACACTGCACTATACCATATGATTGACGAAAGAAAAGTAAATGCACTGTACCAAAAGTGTTTACATAGACCCTTTTCATGGCAAACGCCACAAGGCGACACTCCTAGTCTTTGACGTCCCAGGGAACTTCCGGTTCATAAAAATATTGAACAATGCCCACCTCAACACTGTTGCTGCACTGCTACTGCTTGAAACGTTGATGAAGCGTTATCAATTGTTCAGGTGAACGCCAAGAAAACGAAGAAGCGCGATATCTATTAAAAATTTTCGAATATTCTTGTAAACCAACTTAAATCCTCCAAGACAGGGTTCGGACACACACAGCCCGCGAACTGCATGCGGCCCGCAAGGCAATTTTATGTGGCCCCCGGCGCGACCCCAGAAAGGGACCCTCCCTGCAGTGCAAGCGCCACACAGAAGTTAGGACCACAAATGAAGTTAGACAGGAAGAAGGGGCTCGTCCAATTGGCATTGTCCGGCATCCCCCTGCTTGGGCAGAAAACGTTTTCACTTCCTTTTTTGCCTTTCTTTTCTCTGCCATCCCCCCTCTCCCCGTCTTCGCGACTTGCCGTCCGGCCCCCTCCGTGTCGGCTTCGTGACGACTCGGCTCGCAGCTGCAAAAGGTTGCCGACCCCTGATCCAAGACATTAAACTGTACAGCCGAAGGCACTCGTTAAATATCCAACGTTGTTTTCCGTGTAGCATTTATGCTTTTTAGCACTGGTGACGTAAGCAAGCTCGAGAGGCTTGCAAAGACAGAGCGACCGGAAGTCGCTTGGGACGCAAGCGGCAGTTCATGTTTGTAAACTGCAAAAAGGTCATAATGTGAAAGGCTAGTGAAGTCACCCCCACGTCGCAAGCTGCCGTCGCGCGGCAGCGTGCGCAACAGTAATATTTACCGCGAAACGTATGCGGTGAGCGCTACGTGCTTCGCAGTGTCATCAGGAGAGCATTATCACAAATTATCTAGCTCTGATGCTTGTATTGTGCGTGTTTTTTAGTAAAACTAATACTGTGCTGTATGTTGTATGCGTGATGTGCACTTTTCGCTTCAATCGCCGAAGGTGTTCTTTTTTTCTTTTTTTTTTCTTTTTGTCAGTACGACAACACTTAACATTTTAGATATCCGACCTGTGAGTCATATACAGCTTCGCTGTAAAAACCAGTACGCGGGTAACAAGATCTTCAAGCAATTTTCCCGGTTTTTCGACGAACCGAATCGCCCTGTGTCGAATTGTCCTATGTAACGAACAGCCCTACTATGAGTTGCCCTATTACGAATTGTCTTTCGACGAATGGCCCTTATCCCGTGATATTCGGCATTCAATATTTTGATTACAAGTTACTGTACCGAGGCACATCACTTAAAAAGTGAGTATATAATATAAACTGCAGATGATGTGGATTGTTATATGCAGAGAATCGGCATTTGATGATTGCAGTTATTGCATTGTAATAGAGCAAGACGACAAAAACAAAATTATGTAGTTTTATTTTTCTAAAAACCTTTGGGTGCCTACTGCACTTAATAGGGCTACTTTGGCGTTTTCGCCATAGTCCACGATTTTCTTGAAAATTTTCTAAACACACCAAAAAACATCGCTTAATAGTCACCAAAATATTGGGCTAAATATTTTTTTCGCGAAGTTATTGAATGGACAATCTTGGGTCCTCGCCGTGTTTCTTTTTTTAAATATTTTTTTTAAGTGAAGGTTTCTACCGGCAACAATGAAAAAATGATTTCAGCGGAACGCAGGGGTTCACTCTTTGGACTGTAGACTTTGCTCCCAACTGATTACAAGCAGTTTCATGATGTCAAATGGATGCTTTGGAAACCCGCTTAATCACCCGCGCAGCAGAACGAAACAAATGCTCGGCATAGTCTACTTTTAAATTGTTATTTTTAACCTGCAAGCCTGCCTTTTCCTGACGTCATGACACTGAAAAGCGCGGGTATATATGAATGTTGGTTTAGGCATAATTTTCACTTGCCAATTTCACACATACAAAAAAAAACTATTTTGAATTTTTCATTACAAAATAGCATACCGGAAAGAGTATAGGCCGAAGATTCCAAAATATAGTTTGTTGGGATAGCTCACGAAATCCCCGGAGGGTAGTCGTTGAATGCGTTTACTTCAGGTTTTCAAAGCGCATTTGTGCATATTTTTCCTTGATCAGTTGACCTATGAATTCTGCTACACGGACTGGTGACAAAGGGTAAACTAACTTAATTCTTTGTCTGCCCTAGCTCAAGGTGCTAAATTTTTACTAACCCGTCTGCTTCCAAATGATTACTCGATCGGTTTGCCCCCAGCTATGAAACACGTCAGTGCACTTCTAGTGTTAAAATGCCGGACCTATTATGTTGTTAAGGAACGCTAGACAACACTCACCATTCAAAACACCGAGGAGGGCAAACACGGCGGTCATGTCTTCCGCAAAGAAGCAGAGTATGGTACTGAGGGCCAAGGTGGAAGAGCCCACGAGCGACAACGTCCTGAGTGCCAGATACTTGGTCAGAAGCCCGACAACAGGGCCTAGGTGGGAGTCACAAGCAATAGTCAGTGTCATAAGCGGTGCTTAATTTGCGCCTAAAGAGCACAACATTGCGACTGGTGACCGCACGCCAAGTAGGTTAAGGTTTTCACACTACACACGAGGTATATTTTCGAATGACCCGTTTAATTTTGAGTTTCATGCTGTTGAAAGCAGCCGCATCAAATAAGTAGATGTAAAAACTTCCGTGCCAAACTTCCATGCTTCAACCATTTCGGTGTTCGATGCCCAATACGCTTTGTGCCGTTCGTTTTCTCCTGTGTCATTTGCCCAATTGATCTGTCGTTTTCGGTAAAAAAAGAAAAGAAAGTCAGAGGCAGAGCTAATTAATTCTTGAAAAACATCTATTTCCCTCATTCATGAATAAAGAAACGCAAAACGTTATTCTAAGGTGTGGTGTGTGTCTTTCTAAAATCTGTGTCAAGCATCATCAGCAAGCGCACAACAGAGCATACAAGGAAAGCGTTCATCGTGCCAAGTTTTGCTTGAGATGCACAACCGCGGTAGGCACATCAGTAAGCTGCCGATCGACGTTCAGTTTAACTCGAACCGCTTAAAACAAAAGCTCTTGCTCGGTTTGGTGGTAGAAATGAGATTGTAATTTGCTGGTTCAGGCACAGGACTAACCAAGAAGTAAAAATTTGAAACATAATAAGCAACTCCCCGAAATTCGCTAGTTGTCAGTGACCAGACACGTTAATAAAGCAGTCCGCGAAAGATTGTACGACTTCTGTACCTGTATAAGCAGAATATAAAAGCGAGGGTTTATGATCGACAGCTGAGAACATGTCGCTTTCTTCAGGTGCAGTTCAACAGACATCGGAAGCGATGGAATACTTACCAAGCATGCAGGCTATGCTGAAGCTGATGCTGATGGTCCACGTAGCCTCCTCCCTGGTAGCCCCGTAGCTTTTCACAAGGGCCACAAACACCACGCCGCCCGAGCGCCTCAACAGGCTCAGCCAGAGGATGTTCCATCCGGCAGCGCAGGCCACGAACCAGGAACGAGGCCCGTCAGGCCCTCGGCGTTTGGACCGCCACGTCATCGTGACGTCCACTCGGACTGCCGCTGTCTTCGGCCAACCTCCTGTTTCATCCGTGGTGTCTACTAAGGAATGGTAACGGAACATGGCGAATTCAGTTATAATTGCCATTCAATAACTAAGAACGTATGAGCGCGGCATATCCTGACCATCTCGGTATCACCGGGTGGTTCATTTTAGTCGTAGCATCGTCCGATTAACAAGAATCTCGAACAAAAGGCGAAAAAAATATGAAAGCCGTTGGTGTTAGCCACATTCTATCGGTCTGATACAGTTAGCGCAAAATAAAATAAAAACTAATCTTTAGACGTGGTACATCTTAACTGTCCGGTAACGGAAGCTATATATATATATGTATAGTGTGTGTGTGTGTCTGTGTGGATTGTGCGTGTCTGTGTGTGTCACCAGAGATAGGGCGAATTTTTTTCCTTTCCGCGGCTACGGTATGAAGTTTCAATTCCATCCGGCTTAGTATAATTTTTTGTTCACTTTGCTGGCTTTATCTCCACATCGCCTGCAGTCCCTCTGTGTCCTGTGGTAGTGTGGTGCTTGCCTTCTTTTTGTAATGAAGCTCCCAGACCGATCACTTCTGGGTGCCATGATTTCACCATTTATAATTGTTGGTGTGCGCCGAACTTTTCAGACTGCCTTTATATCTCCGGTTGAATGCTTAAGACTTTCACGATGTAGAACTGCAGATGATGTAGGGATGTGTTTTAGAGAACAAGGAAGAATACTGTCCCTAATTAAATCATTTTTGTGCTGGTTATAAGACGGTGTTGTCCTCATTCCTTCTGTTCCTGGTCTCAAGGTTTCCCAGTATGACTGGTTTTATGCTGCGTTATTTTTTAGTGCATTTAGACCGTGTTTAAATACAAAGTTAAGACGTTTAAATTTCGTAAAGCTACCTTCTTGTTTTGTCTTGGTTCATCATGGCGGAATTTTATTCCGGAAATTTGTTAAATTGTTATCGCTGTAGAAGTCGCGTTACTCGCGACTTCTACAGCTCTTGTGTATCTAAGTTATTTCGCTTGCTAGTTTCATTGAGGTCACAATCCACTCACATGGCGTCTGTTGAGCATTCATATTATGCTTCGTCTCAAATTAAGTCCAGGCGCAACCGACGTTACGAGGTAATGGGAACAATCAAGCAGCTTCAAAAGCGCGAGTCATTATGTCTTTTTTTTGTTTATGATTGGTTCAGCGAAGATAGAACACGTACAGAAACATGACGAACACCATGATGGTGCGCTTTTGGCAATGTCTGATTGGTCCCATCAGCTCGAAGCACCGGCTTCGTCTGGACATTGGGGGAAATGTAGTAGAGAGTTTCTACTGCTGAAGTTCGACGGCAGTTTTTTAACTTCTCAGTCTCGGGTCATTATTTACACCTGCGTGAAACGGAAGCTGTGACAATTATTATACGTCATATTTTGGGTTGCGAGAATCCGTTTTGGGGCCTATACTGCGCTACTCCCTAATTAATGATTCTGTCAATAGCTGCCAATATGCAGAGGTATCGTATTACACGCATTACTCCTATGTTATTTTCCCGTTCTAATCCCGACATCTTCAGATAACACAAAGCGATTTAATACTTAAATTATATACGTGACTCGTTATAAATGATGGGAATTGTATATTTAAATGGAAATATGCTATTCGTACAAAAAGAAATCAGATACTTCATTCTAACATTGACATTGTTTCACTCGTACAAGCTAGGAAACGTTGAATCTCTTACATTCCTGGGTGTTTGGTTTCATGAGACCTCATATTGGAAAGTTCTGTAACCAAGTGGAGTTGAATACGGTCCAGACCAATGTGCATATTGTATGAATTAAGATACGAACATGAACAAAATGTGAAACATACCATGAGAAAGGAAGACGACGAAGCTGCTGAACGGTACGTTCGTGGTTTTGTTACTCCTCAATTTTCGTGAAATAGACAACATTAACAAAACACAGCATCGCATCGTCGCAAACGATACCTTCTGGTGTACCTCGCCGTACCTCCACCCGCAAATCTGAGCTGCAAGAAGCGCACCTCGGCGGGCGGCGGGCTGACAGCGCAAGATGTCGGCCCACCGACCAACGAGGTACCAACTGCCAACCGTTTTCAACTCCTCCCGGAAGAACAAGGCGAATCTACCTCTTTACAAGGACCTGGAACCTTAATTGAAAGCAGACAAACAACAGTCACTGCAAACAACGCCGAGGCTCAACGCCGGGTAAATATATCAGACAAACACATGAAGACATCAACGAGCGACCCTTCATCTGAAGGTGCTACTTCCACGTACGAGCTGAATGAAGACATTATTGAAGATGACGACACCGGATTCATCCAGGTAACTTACAAGAAAAACAGGTCGACAGGAATACCAATTATATTTTATACGACCTCCAAGGAGTTCTCGTTCTGGAAAGTAAATCCGAACTCACTGGCTAATGAGGTGCTTGGAATCGCACAAGAAAAAATTCTGTCCCACAAAATCACTAAGGATGGTAGTCTCGCAGTGAGTGTCGCTTCACTACCTGCAGCTAATAAATTGCTAGCGACAACTTCTCTCATGGGATTCGAAGTAAAACCATCCACGCCAAAGTCATACTCAGAGAACATGGGGAAAATTAAAGGAGTTCCACTACAGTACACAGACAACGATCTTCTGGAGTATTTACATGATGCAGGTGTTACGTACGTCCAAAGGCAGGTCGCATACAGAAGACAAGTGGACGGTAACTCAACGCCTCACCCTAAGGACAGCGTGATTCTTCGTTTTATACAAGACCGTCCGATGCCAAATCGTCTGTACTTAGGTTTCACGAGCCACCCTGTGGAGGAATACTTTGGCGCCCCAATTCAATGCTACCAATGCCAACGGTTTGGACACATCGCACAAAACTGCCGGAGTGCAAGACGTTGCAAGATCTGTGCCGGTCCACACCACCACAAGGACTGCAACTATCGCTCTGAACCTAACTGCGCAAACTGCGGATGCTGTCATGCAGCAACATATGCCGGATGCTCCAGCAAGAAAGCTGCCACCGCGCTGAGGAAACAGGATATACTGAACGGTCGCGCCCCCAATCGTAGATCGCCACCTTCGAATCCAGAGACTGTACACCAGCCTGAAACACCAAGTCAAAAAGAAACGTCAACGCCTAAGAAAGACCGGACGTACTCACGGGCTTTGCAACGACCGTCGAAGAAACAGGCAAATACCACAAGTGATTCAGCTCAATGTGATCCAAAGACCTATGCACCACTTTCACAGAGAACATCTCAACCGTCGGGGTCATTGGTGCCTACTGCATCTGTCGCCGGCAGAGATTCAAGACCCTCAACTTCCCATGCAAAAACGTCGACCACTTGTGACACAGACATCAGCGGTGCAGGCACATCGGCCACCCCACCATATCAAGGGATCGATCAGCAATTGCTTCTCCAACTGGTCTTTCTGGCAGTGAAGGCAATCATCAAATCACTTCCCGATGCACTGAACATCTCCGAGGTAAAAACACTTCTAGCTATGGAGCCTCTCTTACTGGCTTCGAATAGGTCGATATAGATGAATGAAGAATATCGCCGAACAACAATATTTCAGTGGAACGCCAATTCTCTTCGCACAAAAATGGGTGACTTCCGTAAGCTCGTCGCCGAATTTAATTTTCCTGTTATTACAATATCTGAAGGACACACGGATGACCAATTCAGACTCGCTGGATATGTCTCATACTTTTCAAAACGTCCACGTGGTCCAAGTCGAGCCCTGATTTGTGTGAACAAACAATACGATTCGACTTTTTTATGTACATCTTCATCTGATGGACCAGAATATGTTGCATGCAAAGTCAGGTTTGGCGAGAATGTATTGAGCGTAATTAGCATTTATATTGAACCAGCCATAGCTATTACCGAAAAAGATGTCACGTCCATCTTAGATGCTGTTAACAGTCCGTTCGTTATGTGTGGCGATTTTAACGCACATAATACACTGTGGGGAGGTGTGCAATGTGACAAGCGCGGTAAAATAATAGAAGACATAATTGAGAAAAAAATTTATGTGTGTTAAACGATGGCTCACAAACCTTCATCCGAGGATGCAGTTATTCAAGCGTTCTGGACCTAACAATTTGCTCACAAGATACTTTTTCTGATATGGTTTGGCACATAGACATTGAAACGCATGGGAGTGACCACCTACCCATTCTTATACAGTATTCAAAAGCAAAGTCTTTAAACCGGAAACAAAGGAAGATCAATATGACAAATTGGCGTAGCTTCCGGCGACTGAATACAATGCACTGCAAAAATATGGATACGTTAGAAGAGTTTACCTCGATTGTGAAGGCAAATTTTGATCGTGTAACTCGATCAATATCTGCCCCCGAAGGGTATGCGGGAATAGATGCATCATATGAAAAACTTAGGTCAATACGTCGTAGAGCAGAAAGAAAATATCGAAGGTCGGGGATGATAGAGGAATACAGAAAAGCTTAGCACATCCACGACCTTATCCGCCGCAAGCTGAAACAGCTATCCAGGCATCGATGGCGACAACTCTGTGCCAAGATGGCAGCTGTGAGAGATCTCACAAGACAATGGAACATAGTCAAAACACTCCGTTCACCAGTAATACAGAGGTATCCTCTTCGCGCAATGGCGTTATCAAGAGGAGTATCAGAATTGGTAATCGCAGAGCGATTTTGTGAATTACTGGTAAACTCTAGCAATGCAGCTCAGACTTTAAGGTACCGCGCATCGTGTGTAATAGCCCAAAACGCCATTGACGGCGATTTACATGGCTCCGATACACAAATGGATCGCCCTTTACTGCTTCGAGAAATGCAATGCGCCCTACAATCAACTCGCAAACGGAAGTCACCCGGTCCCGACTTGATAACATGGGAAATACTGGCGAATCTCGGTCCGACTGCAACTAACAACCTTCTCAAAATGTTTAACTCTATCTGGATTGACGAAGCTGTGCCTGAACAGTGGAACACAGCCAAAGTCACGGCTCTTCTGAAACCAGGAAAGACCCCAATGGAACTAACTTCGTTCCGGCCAGTCAGCCTCACTAGCTGCGTTGGTAAACTGTTTGAAAAAATAATTAATCAACGCTTACAATGGTGGCTTGAA